TATCAGTATCATATCGGCCACAACAAAATCCATATCGGTCGGGCTCTAACACACACACACACATTCAGTTTGCCAATTAAAAATGAACATGATTTAATTGATAAAATTCTTCATGATCAATTATCGATTAGTCGACTAATCGTGCCCATCCCCAGTAGCTACCACTAGTTTTGATTTGTTGCGCAACTTTAATTATTAATCTGATCGTCTGCTTGAGCATTTTCATCTCGACTCAAGTAATTTGATTTGATTTATTGAGAACAATTGAGTATTTTTGATATGTGAAAAAGTGCACATCCCTTTTTGATTAATGAATGACTGATTGATCGGTGACTGTGTTTAATATTCAGTTGATTACAGGATGAAATTTAAATAAGATTGATAACATATTAATTGACAAAGTTATATATTGATAAAGTGTATTTGTTGTGCATTTATACATTTGTTAAACATGTGATACAAATGTAGATGTTTTGTTTCAAATGTTCATTTGTTCCTTTGACCTTCACAGGTTTTTCTGTTTGAACTCAAACTGAACCTGTGGACTGTGACCCTCAACTCTCCTCATGATGGGAGCTTCCCAGACCTGCCTTTGTGGTAGGATAAAAATACACCCGACACACATCTGTCCATGGATCTTTGGAACTTATTACTGGAACAATTATTCTTTGGGATTCAACCGCTGCTTCAAATAATAATACAAATACTAAATACAGTCTATAACTGTTGCTGTCCTGTTTAATTATTATTTAATATATATTTTAAAATCAAATGAGTTAAATACACATGATTTACCTTGTGTGATTTTATTTGAGTTACTTTATTTGAACAGTTAAAAAAAAAGTGATTTTACTTGACACTTTCCTTTGTTCTTTTGCAGATCTACAAGATCCACCAACAGAATGACCTTCACATGTGACCAGTGTGGAAAGGTGTGTCCAAATGCTTCCGGACTGAAAAGACACTACAGAACTCACACAGGAGAAAGACCGTACAGCGGTGACCAGTGTGGGATGGAATTTATACAATCTACTACCTTCCATAACCATGAGAGAATCCACACAGGGGAGAAATCACACACATGTGATGTGTGTGAGAAGACTTTTTCACTGTCATGTACCCTCATATCACACATGAGAGTCCACACAGGAGAGAGACCATACAGCTGTGACCAGTGTGGGAAGGAATTCAGACAATCTGGTCATCTCCATCGACACATGAGAATCCACACCGGGGAAAAATCATACAGATGTGATGTTTGTGAAAAGACTTTTTCTCTGTCCTGCACTCTAGTGTCACATATGAGAATCCACACTGGAGAAAAACCATACAGCTGTGACCAGTGTGGGAAGGAATTTCGACAAGCTGGTCATCTCCTTCGACATATGAAAATCCACACTGGGGAAAAATCATACAGATGTGACGTTTGTGAGAAGACTTTTTCACAGTCAAGCCACCTAGAATCACATCTGAGAATCCACACAGGAGAGAGACCATACAAGTGTGACCAGTGTGGGATGGAATTTAGACAATCTGGTGACCTCCATCAGCACATGAGAATCCACACAGGAGAGAAACCATATGAATGTGACCAGTGTGGGAAGACATTTAGACAATCTGGTGACCTCCATCAGCACATGAGAATCCACACAGGAGAGAAACCATACACTTGTGATGTTTGTGAGAAGACATTTTCAGTATCAAACATCTTAGTGTCACATATGAGAGTCCACACAGGAGAGAGACCATACAGCTGTGACCAGTGTGGGAAGAAATTTAGACAATCTGGTCATCTCCATCGACATATGAGAATCCACACTGGAGAAAAATCATACAGATGTGATGTTTGTGAAA